CCAGGTTAGATTTATAATCCTAGACCAAACTGGACCAGACTAAATATTTCAGTCTGGGTTGAAGCATTAACCCAGACTGAACCAATCCTAATTTTCAATCTGGATTGCCAGATTAAGCCCAGACCGGTTAGAGCTTTAGGTTGCAGGTAATCTTATAGGTTGACCTGAATTTTTCAGGTTAGGTTTAGCAATTGCAATTCAGCATTAGTTCAGATTGTAACAGAACCTGCCTACTACTAAGATATATTACCGGTAGAAATTTTACTTTCATATGAAACCTTACATTAAGATTTGCTTAAATTCTATTGGTTAATTGACTAAAAAGGAAAAAAATTATAACAATATAACATAAAATTTCCTTTTATAGTAAGATCTTTAAAGAATTTTATATGTAAACTTTACCTTAGGCTATAGAGTGACCTATCTTAATAGTAAGTAGGGTTCTGTTGTAATATTAATATAACCTGAATGACCTGTTGACCTGAAACTATGATTTTATATAATAAGTAAAGTTGCTTGTCAAAATTAGTGAATTTCGTCATGTCGAAATTGTCAAAATTATTTTTCCATTTCGTCATTTGCATTTTAGTTAATTTTAATAATAAAATAATTTCGTCATTTCATCATGTCAAAATGTCGAAATTATTTTTACCATTTTGACAATGGCCTTTTTATTTTCGGCAAGCAACTTTAATAATAAGTACTAAATTATAGTATTACTAGGAACAGTCTTTCAGGATCCCAAACAATACTAATATAGGTAGGAGCTGAAGATGCGTCATCATCTTAGTAGCTCTCAATATGTTAGAATTTGGGAATGCGTACAATCATCAAAAAATTTTGATAAGGTTAGAATTTGATTTTGCGTAATTTTGATTTGATTTTAGGATGGTATGATGTTGGATTTGCTTATTTTTGATATATTTTTGGAAATAAGGTAATAATAATTAATTTTATTTAACGATCATCTTAAAATAAAATTTTTTTTTTTTTCGAAAAAAATCTTTTCTGTATTGCATAAATAATGTTTCATTGGAAATATGGTAAAGAGTGATTGGCTAACATAAATACGTTACTCATATTATTAATGCAAAAAAAGTAGTATGTATATGTGGGAAAGGAATCAAATTAAACCACAAGTATGAAGAAGATTATTTAAATAGATATGTAGCATGTTCAGGATGTAAAGCAGACGAAGACAGAGAACAATTTGATACAACTAATAAAAGAGCCAATTAAAATTTTAAAAACTGACTTGAAGTTAGAGGATTAAAATGCGTATTTTGTAAAAATTTCAGGGGTTAGGAACTATAAATGCGTACTGATCATAGTCAAAAGTGCTGCGTACAGCTAATAGTAAATTTTTTTTTCTGGACCTTACCTATATCAGTATTGTTCGGGGTCTTAGTCTTTCTTTATAAATAAACATTAATTACATAAATTTATAGAAATCATTCCAGACGTATATTACTAGGAAATGGGAACCGTTGCAAGTCTAAAGTGAGGTATAATAAATAAAAATATAGCGATATTCTACTAATTAGCAGCATAATGCCTTGGAATTCCAGTAATTTCTGCTGATTAACAGCATAACATCTTGGAATTCTGGTAATTTTCTGCTGATTAGCAGTATAATTAAGGTTGCTTATCTAAACCTCTTCAAAATCCTACAATTAGTTTCGTCAAAATTTTACTATAGATTTATTATAGTTTCGGCAGAGTTTAGGCAGTTTCAGCATTTATAATAAGTTTTGGCAGTTTCGCCTTTCTCCAAAGTTTTGCCAGTTTTTTAATATAACTTTAATATAGTTTTGGCAGAATTTCGCTTTTCAGCAAAATGCCATCTTGCCTAAACTCCTAGGTTTCGGCAAGCAACCTTAAGTATAACACCTTGGAATTCCTAGACAGAGAAACTCACGTAATTGAAATTTTACACATTATTTCTATAGATCATCATAGTGCATAGACATATATAGTTCTTCGCTTCGCTCTGGACAATAATTCACTTTTTATATTGATTTTATATATAAAAAGTGAATTGCAGTATCAAAATTCACTTTTTTATATTGATTTTATATTTATTGCTATTTGCGATCACAGCTAATACTTCTATAAAAATATGATTATCATAATTTTGTGAATACCAGCATAGCAAGCATAGCGAACATGCTTTTATCACTTTGCTGATCATTCATCGATATCATGTCACATTAATTTTGAAGCTATGGTTAAAGCCATAAAATTCTTAGCCAAACTATACTAATGTCTTTTTAGTAGTATAATTTATGAAAAATAAAAAAAAATTATATTGTTAAAGTTAACTTTAAACTGAAATTTTCAATAATTTGATATTTGCCTATATTTGCCGATCATCTGCTAATTTGACTTTGGAGCTTCAGGCGAAGTCACAGATTTACGGGCGAAACTTAAAATTTTTAAAATATATTATTTAGGTATTCAAGAATCAATAGCCAAAATAATCATGTAGAATTTTAGGTAATCAAAAAGTTATCATTGAGCAAATGTTTATGAATATTATTAAAAACACATATAAACAAAATTTGTAAAACTTTATTAACTGTTTAAAGAATTTTTTTTGATAAATTTAATATGCAGTAAATTTAAATGAATGTTAAATTGTCTGTAAAATTATTATTATGTAGGATTTTCAACCAAAGTAATTATAACGAAATGATAAAATTGAATAAATGATCGACAAATGATTGATAAAATTGTGATAAAGTAAAGATGTCCGCTATGCTAGCATATATAGCAGGCTTTTGATTTTATCACACAATTTTTTTCGATTTTATCATGTGATATACAATTCCGATATGAAACATTGTTTAATTTTTTAAAAAATTCAGCATATTAATATATCCTTAAATTCTATCAATATATATGTCCTATATTAAATTTTAATTATACCAATTTTTATTAAAATCAGATTATTATTGGCCAACTTTTATATGTAACAACTTATTAATTTAACGTGATCAATACATTTTTTTGATATAAATATTTGGTGAATTCAAAATTCTACATAATAATTATAACTCAAACTTTCCAAATTAATAAATAGCAACTTGATATACTTGTATTCAAAATTTTACTGAATATGGATGTAAAATAAAGAACTTTAATATATATCATCTGTATAAAATTAAAATTGAACATAATTCTTATAAAAAAAATGCAAATAATTTAACTTACATATAAACTAGGCAGATATTTTTATATTCACTTTAAAGAATAGACCAAGACCTATCCAATAAATTAAAAATTACTTTGGTTGAATCATTGGTTGATGAATAAATGCATTCAACACATTTATTTCTAATTATGAATTTGATTGTCAACATTTCTATATGTAGTGAATCAATTGGAAAGATCTTTGATTCCAAAATTAGAGTGTGATTTAATCATTTAAAATGTAAAATTATTTGTTTAGCCAATATACAAACTGAAAAAATAATACCATATTACTAATATTACATCATAAAATTTCTTACCAATAAGTTATTTTTAAGATTTTGTATTTTATTTAAAGAAATGAAAAAGAGTCATTCACTATTCAAAGAAAATAAAATTTTAGAAAGATCAGTTCCTAACAGAGAAAAATTATGTAAATAACTTATTATAAAACCCAAAAAAAATTTTTTAAGAAGTTGTTAAATATACAAAAAAAAGAGCTTCTTCAAATGGGTTCTTCCATCATAAATTTCAATAAACATATAGTAAATTAAAAAGCTTAAGTAAAAACAAATCTTTGAATATGTCTGTTTCCATTGTTGTAAATAGATCTCATATTTCTTTGTTTTTTTAGCTTATTACAATTTGAAAGAAAATGTACTATGCTTATTTTCGTTTTATAAGAAGTTTTCAAGTATTTATAACTTCTGGATTCCGTCTCCAATAGCCAGATTCCTTTGTAATACGTTTAAACATAACCTGAAGAATCGATTTTTTTTATTGTTCTTCGCTATTAAATTTTTTGTGACACAATTAAAATAAATTAGTACAATTATCATATGCCAATACATTTGATATCCAGCCAATAAAATACATATCTATATAACAAACAATTACATCAGTGTTATGACTGTTACGTCATTTAAAATTACTTGAAAACTTGATGATTTATTTAAATTTTATTTGTTATTTAAGCAAAAATCACATTTGCCAATCATCATGTGATTATTCGAAAATCGGAAAGCCTGCTATGCTGTGAATACCTATAATTTTTCTAAAAATCATTTAGAAAATAGTTGATAACCTGTGAATACCAATGGAAATTATAAAAAAATCTCAATGTTTCAAGTAGTTTACTTATAAGCAAGTTTTTTAACTTTGTGTAATAATAACAGTTTTTTATAAGTAAACTACTCAAATAATTAGGAATTTCCATGATTTCCTCCAGTAATCATAGGTAATCAATCCTTTTCTAGCAGATTATTTATTGCCATTTTCAAAATAGTATGCGCAGTATCGATCATTTGATTAAAAAAAACCCCGATTTTTGCTAAATATTTTAAATCCAATATATATGTCGCATTATTTTTTAACGATACCTAAGATTTCCCAGCATTATTTGCACTAGTAGGTTCACCTACAGCTTTTTATAGAGTTATAGACCAAGTTATTACGTAATATTTGAAAGTTTTTTTCATTCAAAGTTTGCGATTATTCGCTGATTATTAAGATTATTCAAATTTTTCAACTTTAGACGTTGTTTTTTCCCAATGGCTCGTGCTTTTAGTGAGGATCTAAAGTGGAGAATTATTTACCTTCATCATGATGGATATAGTCGAATAAAAATTGCCAGATTATTACACATTAGCAAATGCACTGTTGATAATATCTTGCAAATATATGTACAATGGGGAACGGTAGTAAATCCATGGCAAAAACCACCAGGACGTCATAAAACACTAACTCAAAATGAAATGAAGCTAATTTATAAGTAAAATAGTGTATTAATTTACTTTTGAATATTACTAATTGTATTATCAATTTAGATATTACGAGAGTTAGTTAAGGATAAGGTGGATTGGTATTTAGACAAATTAGTAGGAGAACTTGAGTAACAGACAGGAAAGTTGGTTTCTATTCCAACTCTTTGGCGATCTTTAGTTTACTGTGGAATTAGTAGAAAGAAAGTATGTGCAAATTTATTATTATTTATTTATTTGTAGTTTTCTTTTTTTATTATTTTTTTTGTAATTTATTTTTATTGTTTTTGTATAGTTACATCAAGTAGCTTATGAACAGAATGAACTTCTTAGAAGCACATTTATTGCAAAAGTTGGACGTGATTATAAACCTGAACAGCTTATATTTATGGATGAAGTTTCTAAAGATGAACGCACTTTATCTCGTGGATATGGTTATTCTTTAAAAAATACTTTTGCAATTAAAAAGAATGTATTTGTACGTGGAGTTCGTTATACAATATTGCCTGCATTTTCTTTACAAGGCATTATTGCTGTAGACATCATGGAAGGTAGCTGTATAAAAGAAATTTTTAAAAATTTTGTTATTTCAAATGTGGTAAGTTTAGGAATTGTTATAATAATTATTATCTTACTTATTTTACCTGTAATATTTATTTTTTTTTCTTGTATTAGGTTCCTCAAATGAATTCATATTCTGGTGAACAAAGTGTTCTTGTACTTGATAATGCGTGAATTCACCATGATCAAGATTTTGTAGAATATATTGAAGCATTTGGTGGTCGTGTTGAGTTTTTACCTCTTATTCGCCAGATCTTAACCCAGTTGAAACTTGTTTTTCCATTATAAAATCATTTTTAAAGAAATACAGGGACTTTGTCTATTCATGTAATGATCCTAAATATCCTCTTTTAATAGCATGTTCTCAAATTACTCCGGAGACAGCTATGAAAGTTTTTAAGGATTCAATTTATATGTAATAGAACTTATAAATAAGAAATTTTGTAAAAACTAGAGTATATAGAAATTTTATTTTCATATTAGTCAAACTGTAAAATGTGAATTTATTATATTATAAATGAAAATATAACATGAATTTTCTTGAAATTATATGTAACGTTTTGCTGCAGCTCTAAATGTTTTTCGCCACCCAATTTTATTTACGCCTAACTGGTCAAATTCTGCATCTGTAAGATCATATATTTGATCTACAGTAATCCGTTCATTTTCAAATATATTTTTAAAATCAACTAATTTTTATGTATCACCATTCGCACCCAATTTAGTAAAGAATTCGTTAAGGGAAGGAACTGCTAGCTTTGGAGAAGACAATGGTGTATTAGAAGTATTAACCATATTTGAATTTTGTGCAAGTGAAATCATTTGAGGTGTCATAGTAAAAAAAATTGGTGTCATATTAGAGCTTAAAAGTGTTTCTGTAGGTGTGGGTGGCTTGAAATTTCCTTTCGTACTGCTAGATTGTGAGAAAATCGGCAAATTCAGTGTTTGAGTATCATCTGTAGTACTTCGAATCTAAAATAAAAAAAACTTATTAAAAAAATTATTAGTTTTTTGATTGGTCAATAATAATTTATAAACATAATTACAATTTCTTTTGCCCAGCATTGCAAGTGCATAGCTGTAAGTTTTATATGTCTTTCATCGCCAATAAAACATGATGCATCATGCTGATTGCATTTGTATTTCTCTCTCAATTCACGAATTATATGGCCTTTTTGTTGTAAAATTGTACTGCACTTTTTTTTTTATTCAACTTGATATTCTCACTTTTGGATTCTTCAGAATTTGAGATTTCCTAAAACAATAAAAATAAATAAAAAATAGTTTTCTGTATAAAGAAATATAAAGCCTGTCTCTTATACACATCTAGATGTGTATAAGAGACAGAAAATAAATAAAAAATAGTTTTCTGTATAAAGAAATATAAAGCAAATTACCTTTCTCTTTTGCCTTTTCTTTTTAAGAGAAACTATAATTGACATGTTCTTTTTTTTATCTACCAGTTTTTTGTAATCTGAGAGGAACTTTTTATAATCTTATATGTCTTCTAATTGCGCTCCAGCCCCTCCTGATTTTTTTGGCTTAAATGATACTGAATAATCAGAATGCATAATTTCTCTATTACCGGTTAATTTTCTAACATAATGGTGAATGTCTGCAAGTATATCATCTAATGATAAAGTCTCAATTTCTAACCATTTCGATGGTAATGATGGGCCAGCTGAGGGTTTTATGACCAAATTAAATGATATAGTAATTTGCTCAGTTTCAGATTTTTCATCCACTTCAAATTCATGCTTAGTATTATCATCAGATTCATCTAAGATAATACAATCATCATTTGTTTTATTATTTTCTAAAGAATTTGAAGTGTCCTTAGTAATAATGGATTTTCTCTGCCTTTGAAAATAACTGTGACATGAAGAGCAAAGAGTAAAGTTGAACTTTGTAGTAAGATCCAAAGAATAGTTGAAACGAGTGACATTATCTTTGATATATTCATATTGTTTGGAAAATAATTCAGATGCAAAAACCTGAGAGTATGCAACCTTTACTTTGTTTGTCCTATTTTTTTTTACTTGGTTTTATAGTTTTGTCACATGAGCACATTCTTTTTCGAATACTTAATTCATCTCCACAGTATAAACATTTCTTACAGCCAAGGCATATACCAATGAGATATTCTTTAAGGATCATTATTCAAGTTGAAACACGAAAAAACACAAAACTAAATTATTATAAAATCTAATAATTTATCACCATTTTCAAAATGGTATGCGCAGTATCGATCATGCATTAAAAATGAATACCCGCTAAGAATACCAGGGGGTTGTTATCACGTGAACATTATCCAATTAAATTATTAGATTTTATAATAATTTAGTTTTGTGTTTTTTCGTGTTTCAACTTGAATAATAACACTTAAAGAATATCTCATTGGTACGTACCTTGGCTGTAAGAAATGTTTATACTGTGGAGATGAATTAAGTATTCGAAAAAGAATGTGCTCATGTGACAAAACTATAAAACCAAGTAAAAAAAAATAGGACAAACAAAGTAAAGGTTGCATACTCTCGAGTTTTTGCATCTGAATTATTTTCCAAACAATATGAATATATCAAAGATAATATCACTCGTTTCAACTATTCTTTGGATCTTACTACAAAGTTCAACTTTACTCTTTCCTCTTCATGTCACAGTTATTTTCAAAGGCAGAAAAAATCCATTATTACTAAGGACACTTCAAATTCTTTAGAAAATAATAAAACAAATGATGATTGTATTATCTTAGATGAATCTGATGATAATACTAAGCATGAATTTGAAGTGAATGAAAAATCTGAAACTGAGCAAATTACTATATCATTTAATTTGGTCATAAAACCTTCAGCTGGCCCATCATTACCATCAAAATGGTTAGAAATTGAGACGTTATCATTAGATGATATACTTGCAGACATTCACCATTATGTTAGAAAATTAACCGGTAATAAAGAAATTATGCATTCTGATTATTCAGTATCATTTAAGCCAGAAAAATCAGGAGGGGTTGGAGCGCAATTAGAAGACATACAAGATTATAAAAAGTTCCTCTCAGATTACAAAAAACTGGTAGATAAAAAAAAGAACATGTCAATTATAGTTTCTATTAAAAAGAAAAGGCAAAAGAGAAAGGTAATTTGCTTTATATTTCTTTATACAGAAAACTATTTTTTATTTATTTTTATTGTTTTAGGAAATCTCAGATTCTGAAGAATCCAAAAGTGAGAATATCAAGTTGAATAAAAAAAAGAGTGCAGTACCAAAATTAGAAAATTTTTCTACAATTTTACAACAAGAAGGCCATATAATTCGTGAATTGAGAGAGAAATACAAATGCAATCAGCATGATGCATCATGTTTTATTGGCGATGAAAGACATATAAAACTTACAGCTATGCACTTGCAATGCTGGGCAAAAGAAATTGTAATTATGTTTATAAATTATTATTGACCAATCAAAAAACTAATAATTTTTTTAATAAGTTTTTTTTATTTTAGATTCGAAGTACAACAGATGATACTCAAACACTGAATTTGCCGATTTTCTCACAATCTAGCAGTACGAAAGGAAATTTCAAGCCAACCACACCTACAGAAACACTTTTAAGCTCTAATATGACACCAATTTTTTTTACTATGACACCTCAAATGATTTCACTTGCACAAAATTCAAATATGGTTAATACTTCTAATACACCATTGTCTTCTCCAAAGCTAGCAGTTCCTTCCCTTAACGAATTCTTTACTAAATTGGGTGCGAATGGTGATACAGAAAAATTAGTTGATTTTAAAAATATATTTGAAAATGAACGGATTACTGTAGATCAAATATATGATCTTACAGATGCAGAATTTGACCAGTTAGGCGTAAATAAAATTGGGTGGCGAAAAACATTTAGAGCTGCAGCAAAACGTTACATATAATTTCAAGAAAATTCATGTTATATTTTCATTTATAATATAATAAATTCACATTTTACAGTTTGACTAATATGAAAATAAAATTTCTATATACTCTAGTTTTTACAAAATTTCTTATCTATAAGTTCTATTACATATAAATTGAATCCTTAAAAACTTTCATAGCTGTCTCCGGAGTAATTTGAGAACATGCTATTAAAAGAGGATATTTAGGATCATTACATGAATAGACAAAGTCCCTGTATTTCTTTAAAAATGATTTTATAATGGAAAAACAAGTTTCAACTGGGTTAAGATCTGGCGAATAAGAGGTAAAAACTCAACACGACCACCAAATGCTTCAATATATTCTACAAAATCTTGATCATGGTGAATTCACGCATTATCAAGTACAAGAACACTTTGTTCACCAGAATATGAATTCATTTGAGGAACCTAATACAAGAAAAAAAAATAAATATTACAGGTAAAATAAGTAAGATAATAATTATTATAACAATTCCTAAACTTACCACATTTGAAATAACAAAATTTTTAAAAATTTCTTTTATACAGCTACCTTCCATGATGTCTACAGCAATAATGCCTTGTAAAGAAAATGCAGGCAATATTGTATAACGAACTCCACGTACAAATACATTCTTTTTAATTGCAAAAGTATTTTTTAAAGAATAACCATATCCACGAGATAAAGTGCGTTCATCTTTAGAAACTTCATCCATAAATATAAGCTGTTCAGGTTTATAATCACGTCCAACTTTTGCAATAAATGTGCTTCTAAGAAGTTCATTCTGTTCATAAGCTACTTGATGTAACTATACAAAAACAATAAAAATAAATT